CTCAAACAAAAAAAAGTTTTTCATGATGCTGAGCTGAAATCTTCCTGACTAAATCTCTGACTCATTGGTCCTGTATTTACCTTGGAAGGCACTCAGAACTCCTTTCCCTATAGGACAGATCTTCAGGTTGTCTAGAAACTGTTGTGATATGAAACCCACCCCTAATCCAGGGTCTTCTTCAGGCAAAATATCCCAGTTTCTTTACTGTGACTTTTGGACTCTTCATCTTTCTTGCATCTGCTCATCAATTATGGTATCACATATTGATCCCCTTATTTCATAAGAGGCCTGGACAGTCAAAGCATAGAGAGATTGTCATGTATAGAGACTAGAGTGCCTGGACTATGTCTTAAAACCCATCTTTCTCCCCTGATACTCTCAAGCCTCAAGGCTAACCCTGCCTGGAGAAAGTAACTCCAATCCCTCCCCATCTACTCTCCCACTGGCCTGCTCTTTGATTTCCGTTTCCCAACTTGGATTCCCCCACCAAGGTCATGGACTTACTAAACTGACTTATTTGTCCTCAGTCTGGCCTGGGACAATAAAGACCTAATGTATGGGTTTGAGATTAAAATGAGGTTTCATTCCACTCAGTAAAGACAGCTCACTCTGATGAATATGATAGCAAAATCTGATCTTTGAAAAGGTTGAGAAGTTGACTTTGAAGTCATCACCAATGTGGGTCCTTTGAGAAGTTTGAATGCATTAGGGGTGAAGTCACAAAGTATACTTTTAATATTTACTGATTATGGAGTGGATGCTTTAATATATCAAATGTTAATTATTTTTAGTACCAGAATTATCTTTGTTGTAACCACTAGCATTCTTTTTAAAAGCAGTATATTGAAATATGAGAGTAAATGATGCGTGGGAAATAATTTTTATATAGTCTTGGTGAATGAGGAATGTGTAAATTGCACATTAGTTTTTCATCTCCTAGGCAGAATCAAGTATTGCATGGACTGGCTTCATTCATAGCCACTTTAATATACATTTGAAAAATAAATTAGCAATGTAAGAAAATAAATGAAGCAGAAGTGGGAATTTAACTAGCTGAACAGCTAACTGATTTCAGTAAAGAACTGAAATTGAAATATTGTGATGCTTTACCAACTTGAGAGCTCCATGGTATATTGTAGACAAGAATTTGGCCCTACGCCAACTATTTTGATAGCGGCAATATTGACGTTTGTCCTTCGTGGGAAGGCAGTGTTTTGGCTTCATACTCACTTATAGTCCCCGGGAGCTGTCCCAGCTGGGCAGGAGTTAGGCCACAGAAAGTGAGGCCCAAACTCAGATGTGGAACTTACATTCCTCAGCAGACTGGGTGCAGCAAGAGTCTCCAGCAAGCCCATGAGCAGCAGATAGAGAATAGAGGCACAAGAAGATGCTGATTCTGGAGACCAATTTACTTCCATTTAAGCAACCTTCATTCCCTTCCACAAATGCTGGCTCTCCCTGTTTCCAGCTCATTAAGACCCTGAAGCCCTTCACCCCTAGTTTGAGTTCTCATGGTGTCCCCTCCCCCGAAGTTCACCTTCCCTGTCATCTCTAAGTATGTACATGTAAGCATGAAAAGCTTATGTACTTCTTGTTCTTCCTTTACTCATTTCCTCTAAGTGGTCATTGTCAATGATGACAATCCATGAACTCCTTCCTGAGAATACAGCAACAGATTTAGCTGTAACAATTCTTTTATTATTTTTTATTATTATTATAAAGATGTGGGGTACAATTCAGGGTTAGGTATACAACATTGATTATACAGTTACCCTTGTTGATGAGGTATGCCCTTCCATCCCCTAGCAGTCTCCCTCAACTGCCAATCCCACCTCTCCTCCCCTGACAGTTTCCCACTACTGCCAATCCCTTTCTTATAGTAATATAATTGTTCAAGGTCCACTTATGAGTGAGAACATATGGTGCTCTGTTCTTTGTTTCTGTGATAGATCACTGAGTATGATCGACTCCAAATCCATCCAAGTTGCTGTGAAGTCCATATATTTGCCTTTCTTTATGACTGCATAAAATTCCACTGTGTATATGTATCATATTTTCTTTATCCTGTCCAGCTTCGATGGGCAACATGGATGGTTCCATGTTTTTGCTATTGTGAACCAGTTGTAACAATTCTTAAGAGTGATAAGTCTCAGTCAAGGTTGCCCTTATATTTGCAATGTTTTTTTTAAATTTCATGTCTATAATTATTTTTGCTTAAAATATATTGTAGTCAATTTTTCATATATAGTGTCTATCCACATCTGTGATCTCTTATTCACAATTCTAAAATTCAAAAATTTATCTGAGAACTCTTATTTTTACTGAGTTTGAGACAAACGTATGTGATGATAAAACCAGACCTAAACTTACATGATGATATTTGTTTAAAGTATTTATTTATTCCTCTTACTGTGAATGTTACTGCAGCAATATCAGCAAGTTTTATTAAGGGGTGTTTCTTCAGATCTCACTGAGAGTATTACATATATATGTATATTATATTCAGCATATTACTTTTTAAAATTAAAAGATCTTAATGCCAAAATGCGTCTTCCTCAGAAGGGCTTTGGATAAGGAACGTGAATACAAAACATAAACATACACACACATCAAATTTTCTACTAAACCCATGAAATGTTTATTTAGTTGAGGAATAAGTTGATTTTGGTAAATCACACACCTGTGCTTCATGCATGTTGCCTTAGAGTTTGGTTTTGAAAGAGTAATCTCTAGGATTGTTTTGTTTCTTATAAAAATTGCTCACAAATAATCCAGTAATATCCCAAAGTAAGTCTAGAGCCTATTTTAGTTTGGCAATATCAGGATGACCAGTTTCTTATAAGAAGCCAGAAACCAATGTGTAAATGAGAAAGAATACCAGGAAACAGTCTTTTCACTGGAGAATCATAAACGTGGATACAAATTCGATTTTATCTCTCAATCTACCACCCAGTATTTTTGGTGTTGCAGATGCTTTGTGTTACATTTGAAAATTTACTTGGGGAGAATTGAGGCCAGGTTAGCCTAATCTCTGGATTAGTCTCACTTAGATTTATGTTCTCTCAATCTTTATTTAGTAACCAATGACAAAAACAATCGATTAGATTTAAAGGGTGCTTTGCATAAATAGGAAGTCATTACTGGCACTAAAGAGAGATCCGCGAAGGAATGCAGGAAAATAAGAGCCCTGAGTTATAAGTCTCCTCCCCTTCCCCCTACCACTGGGGAAAGATACACAGTTCCCAGGAGACACAGTAGTCCTGGATTTCTTGTGCTTTCCCTAATCTCTTGATGTACTTGGCAGAGGAATGTACTTACAGATAGCATTTACTTAGCAGATAGCATTTTAAAATGAGCTTTCCCTCTATGAAAGAAATTGCATACCTACGAGATTAAAGGGCCAGTCTTGGGGGATGGAAGGCACAGGTAATGGAAAGGCTCTATATGCTGGGTGGTGACTTATGAGGAGCCCATGCTGGCTTCAAATAGATCCCACTCCTTCACAAGCAGTAGCTGAGTAAGGCTCCAGCCCAGCAGGTAAGAACTACAATGTTGAAGAGACTCTGGGGAGGGCGAGGGTGTGGGGTGGAGGCATGGACTCCTTTGGGGTTAAAAAAGGAATAAAGATCTATGCTTCTAGAGTCTTGGACAGGGGGATCCTTGGAGCTCCTCTTTGTCAGTTTAAAGGTGGGGCCACAGGACCAAGTGACCTCCAGGGCCGTGATTGGGCTCTTCTGATTCAGTTGCTGCTTCAGATTTGGGGAATGTGAGACAAGGTGCTGCAGCATGTGTGCAAAAGACAGGGAGGACCAGGTGAACGGGCAGGCAAAAAGGTGGGCCAGACTCCCAGTGTCCCCCTTCCTGTGAACTAAACTGATCTCCAAAGGGGAACTAGGCTGAAGAGACAAAGGGAGATGAGACCCCTTCTTTACATTTCAAGCTTCATTTCTAAGAGAAAGCAGAGCAAAACAGTCGAAAGAGATGATGAGGAAAAGGACAGAAAAGCAATGGTGTACCCCAGGGTGCTAAGAGGCAGCTGAGGCTGATTTGTTATGGGGCACAGAGAGCAAACGATCGGTAAAGAGGAGTATTGATTATCAATAAAGGCAGAGTAGCAAATGGTGTCACTGTCCAAACTCTTTGCTTGGTCAACTTTACAAATTTAAAATCAATCATTGCAGTTTGTTGGTCCCTTATGATCATTCCTCCTGTTAAGAGTTTTACAACAAATTTACAAAAAAACAGTGGAGAAGACCAAGAAGCACACTTTCTTTCCCTTATTCATACACCCAATAGACAGCAATGGAGGACAAACTCAAGTCACTTTGCACCAGGCCCTCAGCAGTGAATATGCTCAGCCCAGCCATCACCCTTGAGGGAGCTGGAAGCTGCGTGCTCCTCTTGGGTCTCCAACTAGTTGTGAGGCAGAAGCAAGTCCCTCCCCCTTTCTAGGCCTCAGTTTCTTTCAATTAAAATGATTTTTGAATTCACTCCTTCTTGGTAATAAGATTATACTGTATGTTTAGCTAAGATCAGAGCCTCTCAACAAACCTGTGGGATATTGGACAGGAGAAACATAGAAAATAAAAAATTACCTGCACTGGAAAAAAATTGGGACAGGTAAACATTTAAGGCTCTACTTCTGTATCTGCATCGGGAAAGGCATGCAACCTTGGCTTAAAGTTTTCTACTTCTGTATCTGCATTGGGAAAGGCATGCAACCTTGGCTTAAAGTGAGAGTGACAAGGCTTTTTGGGAGGCAAGGCAGTGTGATGGAAACCGAAAGAACTTGGATACACATAGGCCTGTTTCTCCTCAAACCTTTGAACGTGAGCCTGTCACTGGGCCTCTTGAGCCTCATGCTTCCTATCTGTAAAATAGGGATGGTGCACTCTACTCTGCCAGTATTACACTGATCATAGGCCCTTCTGCTGAACTGGGCTGTGGTCCATCCAGTTTGAGACTGAATGATGAAATGAATGATGTCATTTTTCTTTCAGTTCACCCTTGGCCACTACCCAGCCTCCATCCGCAGTGCAAACCAGTGGGGGTTCTGGCAGCTCCAGTGAGTCAGAGAGCAGCTCCGAGTCTGATTCAGACACTGAAAGTAGCACCACTGACAGCGAATCTAATGAGGCACCTCGTGTGACCACTCCAGAGGTAGGTGAAGTTACCAGAGTTCCAAACATCCTTTCCCCCAGGTAGCACCCCCAACACCTACACACACATACCCATTTTTGACCCAATAATTACTTTAGCACGGTAGCTATTTCAGAAAAGTATCCAGATAGTTGATAGCTTTTTTCTTTAAAACATACATTCACACAGTCCCTAACATACGTACATTTCTTGCTATGTGACTCATTTGCTGTGTGACTCAGCTTCTCTGAGCCTCAAGCTTTCTCATGTCTAAAACTAAAACAGTAATGACTGGGTTAGCAGCTTATCTTTTGAGAGAGCCAGTGGAGCCAGTCAAAACCAACTTTTGGCCTTGGGGAACACCAACCCTTACTCTAGATTAAATTATAAATTGCCATTTAGTAAGAAAGACCCCAAAAACGTGGTTTTCTTTAAAGGTAAAGTGTTGATTAAAAGGTCACATACTTTTTATGTCCATTTGCATTTTTAAATGTGTTTAATAATAATTCATAAAAACATTTAAAACTCAGCATGGAATACCAAAATAGTACCTTTGAAATAAAAGAATTTGCTTTTTGTTCTCTCTGAGTTCAGGATGGCTGTTTAGTTCCCCCGAGCCTGCATTTGATACAGCAAGGAAATCGCCTCCATGGCTCTTCATACACTTGTTTTTTTCTTTTTTCTTTTTGAATTGGAGTCTCACTCTGTTGCCCAGACTGGAGTGCAATGGAACGCTCCCAGCCACCGCAGCCTTGACCTGATGGGCTCCAGTGATCCTTCCGCCTCAGCCTTCCAAGTAGCTGGAACTACAGGAGTGCACTACCATGCCTGGCTAGTTTTTGGTTTATTGTAGAGACTAGGTCTCGCCAAGTTGCCCAGGCTGGTCTTGAACCCACAGGCTCAGGCAATCCACTTGCCTCGGCCTCCCAAAGTGCTGGGATTACAGGCTGAGCCACCGAGCCTGGCCTATACACTTGTTTTTCAAACAGAAGGAGGCAGTAGTCATATTACTACTATTAATAATAGCAAACACTTACTGCACATGGTTCACGTGTCAGACACTGTGCTGAGATCTCGACTTGCATTTTCTCATTTCATCCGCATAACAACCCTATTATCATTTTACAAATGAGAGAATAAGGTTCTGACAGGTTAAAAAAGAGCTCTCCAAGATTTCATAGATACACAGTGGTAGAGCCAGGACTGAAACCCAGGCCCATGTGATGCCAGAGCTGATGTTATCCACCCCAGAGCTCTGCTGCCCATGGTGGCAGCTGATACTGTTTCCTCAGCTCTTACCTCCATTGTCCTGTGCAGGTTGAAAACACAGCTACTCAAGTGTTTTTAATTCTGTCACCCTCTATTGGCTGGTGCCATAAGCCTCAGCTGATGGCTTTCAAAAGAAGAGCTCTTCTAATAAAAATGATGGCTCTTTTAGTTCAGCTGGCAGAATTCAGACTTGGGAATCAAGGCCCTGAATAGCACGCATCATTGCCACGGCTTAAAAGTGGATGCTAATGTCTGCATGCATGTCCCCATAAATTGCTTATTGCCCATACACTGAGGAAAGTGCAGTTTTGTTTTTTCTGTTTTTTCTCGGAAGTCAAATCTTTTCATCCTTCAGTAAAAATACAAAAGGCTTGCTCTGTTTGCAGTGAATGACAGTATCACATAGGAGCACTGGCACACTGGTGGATAGAAAGCCTTTCCGAATTACACTTGAGGTGCGCTTACATTCCTTTTCAGGAACAAAGGCTATTACCTCTGCCTCCTGGTGAGAGGTTGAGTGATGATTCCTACCAAAGGATTTTAGGAACAGGTTTCCCTCTCAGGCACCCCTGCCTACCCACTAGAACATCTCTCTGTGAATAATTCTTTTCTCCTGGCCAGAGTGCAGAATATTTCAGAGGAGGAGTGGAAATTAGATTAAATAAGTAGACTGTTGCTGGTTTGTATCTGGCTATCTAGGTAATTTGATTATTGTTGCTAGTGCATGTATGTAGGCAAGTGTAGGAGTGTGTGTGTGTTTGTATACGTGTGAATGGTCACTAAACAACCCAAACTTTATTAGCAGTCACTGGGCAGAGGATTCTCCTGAATTCTTCCCAAATGTAAAATTCATTCTTGCTGCTTTTTCTCAATCCACAGCCTGAGCCACCCTCAACCAATAAGTGGCAGCTGGATAAATGGCTTAACAAAGTGACATCCCAGAACAAATCATTTATCTGTGGCCAAAATGAAACACCCATAGAGACCGTTTCTGTGCCTCCTCCAATCATCCAACCAATGGAAGTCCAGATCAAAGTGAAGCCAAACCCCAGCCAGGTCCTGGCTGAACCCAAAGAAAGGCCTCTCCTCAGTCTCATTAGGGAGAAAGCCCGTCCGCGGCCCACCCAGAAAGCTCCAGAAACAAAGGCTTTGAAGCATAAGTTGCCATCGGCCATTGAGACAGCTTCTCAAAGGACAATTGGAAAAAAACAGCCCAAGAAGGTTGAGAAGAACACTAGCATCGACGAGTTTACCTGGCCTAAACCAAATATTACCAGCAGCACTCCCAAAGAAAAAGAAAGCGTGGAGCTTCCTGACCCACCAAGAGGCCGTAACAAAGCCACAGCCCATAAACCAGTCCCTAGGAAAGAGCCAAGGCCTAACATCCCCTTGGCTACTGAGAAGAAGAAGTACAGAGGGCCTGGCAAGATCGTGCCAAAATCCCGGGAATTCATTGAAACAGATTCTTCTACATCTGACTCCAACACCGATCAGGAAGAGACCCTGCAGATCAAGGTCCTGCCTCCTTACATTGTTTCTGGAAACAATACTGCCAAATCCAAGGAAACCTGTGGTACCAACCTGGCCCTTGGCACCTTAATCAGCAGCAGCAACAACAACAACAACTTATCCATCAGTAATGAGGAGCCACTTTTTTCACCTATTCCTGTCATGCAGAGTGAGCTTTTGTCTCCTCTACGTGATCATGAGAATCCGAAAAACCTCTGGGTGAAGATTGACCTCGACTTACTCTCTAGAGTACCTGGCCACAATTCACTTCAAGCAGCACCTGCCAAGCCAGACCACAAGGAGACTGCCACAAAACCCAAGCGTCAGACTGCTGCTGCAGCAGCTGTGGAAAAACCAGCCCCGAAGGGCAAACGTAAGCACAAGGTAAGTTGCCCAAAATGGCCTTTCAAGTAATTGTGAACAGTCACTGGCCATTGTCTAACTTGACCTTGAGTCCCATTTTCAAGGAGGCAAATGGCAATGGATTGCTGCCTTTGCTGAGCATGATGATGCTTTCCATGAGTAATACGGTATTTGACGTGACCAGGGAGGAAGACCTAGGAATGATCAGGCTTAGGCAGCCAATGGCAAGCATGTCCATTATGGCACATGAGGGATTATAATGTATAAGAAAGAAGAATATGGACAGAGTCTCCTTCCCCAGGGATCTAGTCCCTGGAGGCAGCTCCTTAAGCTGTTCTGATTTTTACAGACTTATGTATCATTGCTCTGAAATCTCTACCCCCTTCATCAGCAGGTCACCTATGCACCCACAGTGTCCAAATGCATCTCTAGGGCTTTCTCATTTCTCTGGACAAATATTAGTATCCCCACAGCCCAGTTGTACTTTGAGTTTTCTGGCTCCTACCAGCCAAATGTTTTTCCCAGCTGCTAGGATCACTTATCTATGACCTAGGTAGTAGGCTTGACTTGTGAAAATCTGTCCTGCAAGAGGTTAGGGCTGAACTCCCAGGCTATAAAGTATAATCCAAAGCTAAAATCCAGAATGGCCCTTTCCATTTGAGATATGTCTACAGAGATGTGTTTATATCCCATAAGCTCCTATGTATCTCCAGATATCAGGGTAGTTTTTTAAGAGTGACGTTGTCTTTTGATGATATTCAGGTAATTTTATTTCTAAGGTGGCCATATTGGCTAGAGAGGAGTTTCCTAGTCCTTTCCCTATTTCATCATGTCTTTCCAGGAAAGACTTAAGTAGGGTCAGGAATGACTCCGATTTCTCATTGAGCAGCAGCCCCACCTGTAGCCAGCCCCTACTACTGAAAAAGAGACTGCAAGAATGATTTAAATCTTCATTCAGCTTGACTTTACAAGTTAAACATACAAGATATCTTCTCTGAGTTGTACACCAACATACTCAATGAAAATACAGGTTGTACATCTCAAATCTGGAAATCTGAAATCCAAAATCCTCCAAAATCTGAAACATTTTGAGCACCGACATGATATTCAAAGAAAGTGCTCATTGATGCTTTGCAGATTTTGGATTTTCACAATTAGGATGCTCAAACAGTAAGTATAATGCAAATATCCCCCAATCCAAAAGCATCCCAAATCTGAAACTCTTCTAGTGCCAAGCATTTCTAATAAGGGATACTCAACCTGTACTCAAAAATAGGGACCAAGAAAACTGGAATCTTTTCCCTAACACTAATTCTCCACTCTTAGTGACAATGGTACAACCTTCAGAACAAGCACATGCAAAAGCCCAAAGGTGTGCCCTATACATGGTTCAATTCCTTGCATGGTGTTGATTGTATACACAACCTTCCAAGTCACCCACAATTTTCTTTTTTTTTGGAGTTGGAGTCTCACTTGGTCGCCCAGACTGGAGTGCAGTGGCCGCTCCTGGCCACCGCAGCCTCGACCTGCTGGGCTCCGGCGGTCCTTCCGCCTCAGCCTTCCGAGTAGCTGGAATTACAGGCATGCGCTACCACGCCCGGCTGATTTTTTGATTTATTGTAGAGATGAGGTCTCGCTGCCCAGGCGGGTCTCGAACCCGCGGGCTCAGGCAATTCACTCACCTCAGCCTCCCAAAGGTGCAGGATTACAGGCTGAGCCACCGAGCCCAGCTACACCCACAATTTTCATGTTGCTTGGACAGGATGTATGCCGTGTTTGAGTTACAATGTTAATTTCTAAACTACTCATTTGTGGGGGTGTTTTAATGGGAAAAGTGTCTGAAAATGACAGATTCTCTTTACTTTTGTTATGAGATTCCTATGCCACCTAATCTTCAATCAGAGGTTCACATTACAGTTCAACTCTCTCAAATGAAACTTCTTGGGAGGGCTAAACTAGGCAAGACTGATTGCTTTTCTGTCTAATCAGAGGGCACATTTAACTCTCTTACCTAATCTAGAAGTTAAAACTGTCTATCTTGTTCATTTTTTAAATGCATAAAACGTGATTGTCTAAATGTGCCATGTATTTCAAGCTCGGTGTGTTTTTTTCTCTGTTACAGCCAACAGAAGTTGCAGAGAAGATTCCTGAGAAGAAGCAGCGCCTGGAGGAGCCCACGACTATCTGCTTGCTCCCCCCTTGCATCTCACCAGCCCCACCTCACAAGCCTACCAACGCAAGAGAGTGAGTTTGCCCTGGCTCTGTAAGACTGTTCAGACTCCTAAGAAATCCCAATTGAACCCGTTTTGGGAATCTTGTCCCACAGAAATGTAAGGTAAAAGACAGGAGTCCCTTAGTGCAGGCCTGACAACTGTCCCTGGCCACTGGTCTAACAAGGGTGTGATAAAGGGGGGCTGCCACTCAGAGTGAGCTTTTAGCAATATTTCTTTGCTCCGATTGATCACTGAAATGAGCCGAAACAAAGTTTTAGCACTAAGTGAAGGGTAAAAGGAAGTAAATAAATTAAAAAGAGGAAGCATCAAGAGAATCCCTATCCCTTTAACCAGATCACCTGCTTCTGGCCAATGTTCCATTCTGATGGTGATTAATCACTTTCCCTAGAAAAGCAATCCCTCCATCTTGCCAGCATGACACAGCTGCTTCCTTTTTGATGTCATTACTTAACATTAATATGAAGCTTGAGGACCAGTAGCTGCATCCTGAACTCCACAGAGGTCAGGGGAATGACATGTCTGGTGAGGCCAGAAAGATGAACTGTCTGGGAGTTGCTCTCCCCCGGGACAGTGTCAGGGAAAGCTGGCTAGGAATGGATACGTTAATTCCAACCAGCTGGCACCTCTTCTCCCTTCTCTATGAGAACGATTCCAGGGTTGGGCAGGAGGTCTCCTTGTCCCCTCCTCATTCAAACAGCATCAACGATCCCCAGAGAAGTCCTGCCCATGTTTTTGCCAAGTGTCGTAACTGAGTTTTTCTGTCTTATAAATATCACTTAACTAACAATCATGTCAGCTACTTGAACCATTCTGTCTGAGTAATTATTGCCATAAATTCATTCAACATTAGAGATCACTTCCATCAAAGCCCAGTTTTGGAGCCTATTAGCAGCCCAGAGCAGAGAGGCAATCTGGATAACTGCTGCTAACAATTGATTTCACAGATTAGTGTTTAACATCAGTGATAAGGCATCAATCTGCCACAGATAAGATGTTGGAAATAAGTTATCAGTTTACATTTGTCTAGACCTTTGTTGTTTTGAGATGAAAGGTAGGAAAAGACCAATTACCACTGGATCTGCCTGGTATAATAAGGAGACTTGAGTCCTGGGCTGGCCATTTCCCTGAGGATCAGTAGCTATTTGTAAGGTGCATCTGCATTCTCTGATTGAACGTTGCTCTGAAACATCCCTTCATACCCGTGGAGTCTCAGAACTAGAGATCCTTCCAGGGGAGCAAGGACCCCCTTCACCTCCAGGTAGACAGGCATGTGAGGAAGTATGTTTCTCAATGGTCAGACATGATCATTCCACGGCCCTTCTCTTTATGACAAAAATGTCATAGCTGCGGTGACAACCCTTCTCCAGTTCCCAGGATTTGACCAGAGTAGACCATCTAAAGAGGTGGGGGCAGCCGGGCTCGGTGGCTCAGTCTGTAATCCCCCGCCTTTGGGAGGCTGAGGTGAGTGGGTTGCCTGAGCCCGCGGGTTCGAGACCTGCCTGGGCAGCGAGACCTCATCTCTACAATAAATCAAAAAATCAGCCGGGCGTGGTAGCGTATGCCTGTAATTCCGGCTACTTGGAAGGCTGAGGCAGAAGGATCACCGGAGCCCAGCAGGTCGAGGCCGTGATGGCCGGGAGCGGCCACTGCACTCCAGTCTGGGTGACAGAGTGAGACTCCAATTCAAATAAAATAAATAAATAAATAAATAAATAAAAATAATAAAAAAATAAAGAGGTGGGGGCAATGGGGTGTTGATACACTCATCAGTTTCCACTGCTAGTCTCCCTTAGCAACCCAGTGGCCTGTCACTTGCTCCATCTTATGGAAGAGATGAAAAAGTAGTAAGTAAAGTGCTATTCATTTGAGTTGGCTCTCATCAAATGATGTCTTTAATTCATGATTTTTACAGTGTATCTGTTTT